TGGCAGCGACGGGCCTCCTGGAAGCCCGTCGTGACCAAGGGTCCCCCCGGGAGGCTACCTGGACTTACCGGCCCAGGCAGACCACTGCCACTGCCTCCACCACCACCGCCGCCACCGCTGCTGCCTCTGCCGCCGCCGCCACCGCCTCCAACAAAATGCTGGCCGCAGCGCGCTCGGTCACGCGCCGACGAAAACAGGCGGCAGAGGCGCCGTGGTGGTGGCGGCAGGGGTCCGCCTGGGCCGGTAAGTCCAGCGTCCTGGGCTGGAACTGGCCCGCGGGCCGTAGGTTGCCGACCCCTGATCTATATGAAGCCTGTGGGTGAGATCATTCGGAGTTATGGAGCTGGGTGTTATCAGTATGTTGATGACACCCAGATCTATTTCTCCATGTCTGGATAATCAGCCTTGAATTCCAATGGCGTCTCCTCTCTCAGTGAATGTCTTAAGGCAGTAATGGGCTGGATGAGGAAAAACAGTTTGTGACTGAATCCAGAAAAAACGGAGGTGCTCACGGTAGCTGCCCCAAAATCAAGAATTGGGTTGCAACCTCTGGTCCTGGATGGGGTTACACTCTCCGTAAAGAACTGTGTTCGCAATCTGGGGGTGTTTCTTGATTCGTTGCTCCTGATGATAAATCAGGTAAATATGACAGTCAGAAGTGCCTGTTATCAGCTTCGGCTGATACGCCAGCTGCGCCCTTTTCTGGAAGTAAGGGACCTTGAGACTGTTGTGCACTCACTGGTAACCTCCCGTCTGGATTTCTGTAATGCGCTCTACATGGGGCTACCCGCATGCTTGGTCTGGAAACTTCAGATAGTACAAAATATGGCAGCCAGAGTGGTCTTGGGAACATCTCGCAGAGACCACATAACCCCGGTGTTAAAATCTCTCCACTGGCTGCCTATCAGTTTCCAGGCCCAGTATAAGGTGTTGGTTATTACCTTTAAAGCCCTAAATGGCTTGGGCCCAACTTATCTTCGGAACCGCCTCCTGCCATATAATCCTCCCCACGCACACCGGTCCTCTGGAAGGAATTTGCTTCAGCCACAGAAATCTGTGCTGTCTGCAACCTCCCAAAGGGCATTTTC